GAGAGGAAGGTCGAGAAGGGAGAGGGAGATGAAGAAGACGAGGGAGAGGACTGGGATGATGAAGAAGGATGGGGGTCAGGCAGATTCATGTCATGGATGGGACTGGGGAAGAGGGCAACGTCTAGCCGACCGACCGTCTCCGCACGCATCGAAAGACGGGCTTGCATTTCCCTGGAATTGCTGGGGGATTTCTCTGACACTATCTGTGCGTACGACCGCTGCTCCAGCCTCAAGTCGGAGAGGCTAGATGGACTAGGAAACATAGATCACCCGACATCCGTACGCCGGTCTGTTGCGGCACGGGGCAGGATCCGTGCGAGTCACACCAGTGGAGTAGGCACAGCTCTGGACGGCCCCCGATTAGCCAGCTCTCGGATCACAGCCTTGCGCATCGCACTGTTCATCAGGATGAAGGTGGTAAGAAGTCCAAGTAGGATGATCTGGCACGGCCGAACGCATCTCGACACTCGTGAGAACCTAGCTGTCATCCATCAGCCCAAATCACCGAACCTCACGGCATCAACATTGTCAATTCGATTAGACAGCCGCATACGTTGGATCCAATTGGCTTGCACGCGTGGCTGATGCGCAATATCGGAGCACAAGCACCTGAAGCACGCACGCATCACATGCACGATTCAGATGCCAGCGTTGCCTTCTTGTTTAGGACGACCCTTAGGCAAGGGCCCTCGCGATTTCTCTGGGCCCTCCCAGGGCCTGGTGGCCACGTGGGGACTACTCATAGGGAGAATTCACCACATCTTGTTGCCTCGACTCTTGGAACCAACAAGGGCAAGAGCACCCTCGTCCTCCTCGTTCTCCTCCTTATCCTCATCCGCCATCCTTCGCCCCATTCTTCATCCGCCTCCCTGTTATCACCGTCGTCCTCCTCGGTCCTACTCCTTCTCCTCCTCCTCCTCCTCATCCTCCTCCTCCACCTCCTCATCTGTCTTCAGTTGTAGTCTTTCCTGGCTGAGACTGCCCTCTGGTTCCCAGGACCTGCCGAACGTGTCGGGGAGAGACGATTGCTGATGCGCCGTGCTGCGTGAGCGTGCCCGACTCGAAGCCCACTTCTGTGCCAGCGCAGGGCGCGCTCCGGCGCACGCTGGCGCCGTGTCATCCCCAAAGCTTGAATGGCGGAGCGGCCTGGTCGGCTGCACTGAAGGGTTCGGCGGCGAAATCCGAAGCCTACCCTCGCCGATCCTCCTCCACCTCCTCCTCCTCCTCCTCCTCTTCCTCCTCCTCCTCCTCCATTCCTTCTCCTTATAGATAACTCCGCGCTGTCGCACCCCGAGGCGAGTTTTTAGGGCGGTCCGGGCGTTTCGCCTGAGTCTTCCTCACCATTTATGATCGAAGCTTAACAAGTGACAACAGCTTCACATATGGGAAATAGCGTGTTCTACCGCTGCTGGCGGAAAACCAGGGGGGGTCACTGGGGGTTCCCAACCCGTCCCCCCCCTCCCCACTCGAAAACCGGGGGGGGGGTCACTACCGGTTCGAACCCATCCCCCCCTATCATGAAAAGGGGGGGGGGTCACTGCCAGTTCGAACCCCTCCCCCCCCCCTCGAAAACCGGGGGGGGTCACTACCCGTTCGAACCCCCCCCAACACCCCCTCGCCGCCGGCAAACGATTCCCGCTCCTCGGGACAGTTGGACAATGGTGGGGATGCTGGGACAGTGGTGGGAACGGTGGTGGTGGGGACAGTGGTGCGGGGACAGTGGGACAGTGGTGCGGACAGTGGTGGGGACAGTGGTTAGGGGACAGCGGGACAGTGGTGGGGACAGTGGGACAGTGGTGGGGACGGTAGTGGTGGCGAACGTGGTGAAGGCGGTGGTGAGGACAGTGGTGGGACAGTAGTACAGTGGGGAAAGTGGTGGGGACAGTTGGGGCAGTGGGACAGTGGGGGACTGTGGGAACGGTGGGACAGCACAGTGGGACAGCGGCGGGGACAGTGGATCAGTGGTGGGCACAGTGGGGACAGTGGGACAGTGGTGGGGAAAGTGGGGAGAGTGGGACCGTGGCGGGACAATGGTGGGGAGAGTGGGGACAGTGAAAAACTGGCGGGGGCACTGGTGGGGACAGCGGGGACAATGGTGGGAACAGTGGGGACAGTGGTACAGTGGTGGGGACGGGTGTTGGTGAGGACAGTGGTGTGGGGACAGCGGGAATGTGGTGGAAACATTAGGACAGTGGAGGGTACAGTGGTGGTGGGGACAGTGGTGAGGGCGGTGGCGAAGACGGCGGTGGGATAATGGGACAGAGGTGCAGTGGGGACAGTGGTGGGGACAGTGGGGACAGTGGTGGGAACAGTGGGACAGCTCAGTGGGACAGCGGCGGGGACATTGGGACAGTGGGACAGTGGGGCAGTGGTTGGGGCCGTGGGGAAAGTGGGGAGAGTGGAATCGTGGTGGGAACAGTGGTGGGGACAGTGGGGACTGTGCGACAGTGGTGGGGGCACTGGTGGGGACTTGGGGCGGTGGTGGGAACAGTGGGGACAGTGGTGGTGAGGACAGTGGTGCTGGGGACAGCAGTGGGGGATGTGGTGCGGACGGTGGTAGGGACCTGGGAGTCGTTTGCTGGCGGTGAGCGTGGGGGGGGTGGAGGGGTTCGAACCTGTAGTGACCCCCCCCTGGTTTTCGAGGGGGAGTAAGGTTCAAACCGGCAGTAACCCCCCCCCGGTTTTCGAGGGAAGGGGGTGGGGGGTGGGTGGGGGGTTCGAACCGGTAGCGACCCCCCCCGGTTTTCGAGGGGGGGGGTCGAACCAGTAGTGACCGCCCCCGGTCTTCTGGAGGGGGGAGGGAGGGGGTCGAGGGCGGGTGGTTTTCAAGATGTGGCTCTCGCCTTAGCGCCGCGCACTTTCGTTTTTTTGATTTACAAGAGCTTCACGGATTGAGGGCGGGTGGTTTTCCAGATGTGGCTCTCGCCTCAACGCCGCGCTCGTTTTTTTTGTTTTTTGTTTTTTGTTGAAAGAGGTTCACGGATTGAGGGCGGGTGGTTTTCAAGATGTGGCTCTCGCCTTAGCGCCGCGCACCCTCGATTCAAGAGCTTCACGGATTGAGGGCGGGTGATTTTTCCCGGAAAGGGCTGGGGCCCAGGGTTCTCTTTTAGTTGGTAAACCTGACCCCCGGTGCCAACTTGAAGGAGGCCGGCGGATTTTTTCCCTGATAAATATCGAGGTCGAAGGAGGCCGGCGGATTAAAATTTGAGGATGTCTCGAGCGAAACGCTTGTTTTTGAAATCCCGATCGATAAATCACAGGGTGCGGGCCACTTTTTCGTGTGTTGAGGATGTCTCGAGCGAAACGCTTGCTCCGCAGAGTTTGCCGAGGATGTCTCGAGCGAAACGCTTGTTTTGCAGAGCCGACCGCGACGAGGAAAAGCGCCCCGCGCAAAGGAATTTCGATGATGTCTCGACTAATTCGTTTGTTTTTGTACGATTTCCTGGAATTTTGGCAGGATGTCTCGAGCGAAATGCACGACCCCACCCTAGCACGACCATACCCCAGCACGACCACACCCCAGCACGACCAGACCCCAGCACGACCCCACCCCAGCACGACCCCACCCCAGCACGACCATACCCCAGCACGACCACACCCCAGCACGACCCGACCCCAGCACGACCCTACCCCAGCAAGACCACACCCCAGCACGACCACACCCCAGCACGACCTCACCACAGCACGACCACACCCCAGCACGACCACGCCCCAGCACGACCACGCCCCAGCACGACCACGCCCCAGCACGACCACCCCCCAGCACGACCACCCCCCAGCACGACCACCCCCCAGCACGACCACACCCCAGCACGACCACACCCCAGCACGACCACTCCCCAGCACGACCACACCCCAGCACGACCACACCCCAGCACGACCACACCCAGTCGCACCCCCGTGGAATGTTTCGTGGCGTGTCTGGTTGAGTGGTTGCCTGTTCGTGGGGTGTCTCGTGGAATGTTTCACGGGGTGTCTCGTGGAATGTTTCGTGAGGTGTCTCGTGGAATGTTTCGTGAGGTGTCTCGTGGGATGTTTCGCGGGGTGTCTCGTGGGATGTTTCGTGAGATGTCGCCCAGTTGGGTATCGTGAAAACGTGACCATGCTGCACATGTCTTTATCCCTTTCCGGGTTCGTGGGTCCATCATGTTCAGATGTTGCTCTCGCCTCAACGCCGCGCTCGTTTCTTACATTTGAAAGAGGTTCACGGATTGAGGGCGGGTGGTTTTCAAGATGTGGCTCTCGCCGTAGCACCGCGCACTCTCCCTTTTTAAATTTACAAGAGCTTCACGGATAGAGGGCGGGTGGTTTTCGAGATGTTGCTCTCGCCTTCACGACGCGCACATTCGTTTTTTAAATTTGAAAGAGGTTCACGGATTGAGGGCGGGTGGTTTTTAAGATGTGGCTCTCGCCTTAGCGCCGCGCACTTTCGTTTGATTTTCCCGGAAAGGGCGGGGGCCCAGGGTTCTCTTTTACTATGTAAACATGTCCCCCGGTGCCAACTTGAAGGAGGCCGGCGGATTTTCCCGGAAAGGGCTTTGGCCCAGGGTTCTCTTTTAGTAGGTAAACCTGTCCCCGGTGCCCAACTTGAGGGAGGCCGGCGAATTTTTTCCCTGATAAATAACGAGGTCGAAGGAGGCCGGCGAATTAAAATTTGAGGATGTCTCGAGCGAAACGCTTGTTTTTCAGAATTTCTTGAGGATGTCTCGAGCGAAACGCTGGTTTTGCAGAGTTGAGGATGTCTCGAGCGAAACGCTTGTTTTCAGAATTTGCTGAGGATGTCTCAAGCGAAACGCTGGTTTTGCAGAGCCGACCGCGACGCGGAAAAGCGCCCCGCGCGAAGGAATTTCGATGATGTCTCGACTAATTCGTTTGTTTTTGTACGATTTCCTGGAATTTTGGCAGGATGTCTCGAGCGAAATGCACGACCCCACCCGCACGACCACGCCCCAGCACGACCACACCCCAGCACGAACACACCTCAGCACGACCACACCCCA